TCAATAAATGGATCATAAATTAACTAAAAACTAGAAATCATAATTTCCACCAAGATGACAATATGTAAACGACATACAGCCTGACTCTCAAAAAAAAGTCCCCAGCAGAGTCGCCAAGCTGTCATAACCATTTTTAGGTAAAACAATTAAATATTATTTTTAAAAACGATTATGACTTTAATTTGAAAAGAAATCGGGGAATTTGGATTAATTCGAATAAAATAGAAAAGAGAGTCGCCATCGACCTTTGGGTTAGGTAGGTTGAATACCTAAAAACGTCTTTTAAACAATTTTAAGAAAAATCATTTTTTAGACAAAATTCGGTATGCGTTACCAAAGATTCATTTAAATGGATTCGGGAGTCGGTTACGTGTGGGGAAAGATAAATACCCCCACAACGCCCAAAATTGGTACTGTGTCGCTTACAAGTTGTCGTAAAATGGTAGAAATTACAAATCGAATATAAAGTTAAAATATGATCCGTTTATTGAACATTTATTAATTTGTTTCGAATCAATTAATTAAAGAAAATTCTTTAATTCGAAAAGAAATCTCGAAATTAACAATCCTCCATTGGAAAAGCTAACTCGTCTATTTCTTATCAATAAAATAATGTTCCCTCAATCGATAAAATACGGGTCAAATATAAAATAAATATTGACAGTACAAAAAAAATAAAATACATAACTTGCATTGATCAATATAAAATAAAAATGAATTAACAATTAACAAACTAAAATTGATTTATTTCAAGTTCCATTTAGTTTGAACGTCGTATTAGATTATACCACTTCGATCAAGTGATACTTTCTACGCCCGTTCTACAAATTCGCGTTCTTGAAACTATTCAGATAACATTAACAGTTAAAGAAATGGAAATAAATATAAATAAAATACAAAATAAAACATACACCACAAATAAAGTTAAACATATTTATTTACATATGATATAAATAAATGCATAACATAAAAAGATGTAGATACGATTGACATAAATACAAATCAATATTACAATCACCAAATATAATAATCAAAAAGTAAATAATAAAATTACAAGGACTAACATGATAAATAAAAACAGAGTAAAAATCAGAAATAATAATTACAGACACTAAAAATAAAAATAACCCCAAACGAAAATTTAGGACTAAAATGCAATAAAACATAAACATGAAGGCCGAATAATAATTAAATCTAAATACAATAATGACTAAAATAAAATACATACGAATGTCAAGACTAGATTCGAATACCACAGAAAAATATACAATTAACTAAAACAGTGACTAAAATGAACCTAAAAGAAAATTTAAGCCTAAATCAAATATTAACCCAATCGAACCCACAAGCCAACATAAAGGACCGAAATGAAAAGGATGCAAAACAGATGACCAAAATCATAAACCTCATCGAAAATAAAAACTAAGAACAAAGATGGACTAAAATAGAAGGCAACCCAGTTTAAAGACTAAAACATAAATGTTAATAAATTCCATTAATATACATACAATGATCAAAATAAAATTAATCACAAATCAATAAACCTGAATAGGCATAAAACCAAACTAACATTACAGAAAATTTAAGGACTGAAATAAACATTTCACAAGTTCCAGGCCTGATATATAAAAATTATCATAAACATCAACACATATGTTAGGACGAAAATATAACAAGAAATAAAAAGGAGACTCAAATAGAAAAACTGAAACCTAAAAGACTAAATAGGAATTAAACCATACACAAGCCAATGGCTAAAATAATATATTTACAAATATAGTGACCAATGTCAAATATTAACAAAAATAACTTAACAAATAATAAAAGGACTAAAATATAAATAAGGAAACATCAGAATCTGAAATCAAATAAATGAAACTTCATTTAATGGCTAAATCGTGAGATTACAAGGATCAAGGACCTACAGTGTAGTTTACCCCTTTTAATATGAGAAACACGGGAAGAATGATACAAAGATGTAAGGACCAGATGGACTATTTACCCTTTTATGCTGAAACACGCATACCCTGACCCCTTTAAACGGCGTCGTTTTGGGTCCATTATAACCCAAAATAAGGGTTTCGAAACCCTTGTTTTTCTCATTCTCAGCCGCTCTCATCTCTCCCTTTATACTCTCCCCTTTCCCTCTTGCTTCCTCTCCACGAGGAGAACAGAGCACCAAGGGCTCCCTGGCCACCGTAGATCGGTGGCCACAGGGATTAAATAAACCCCCAAAGACCCCCAGTTCCTCACCCTCTGTTACCCATGGTTCAACCGAGCCTCATAAGGCTCGAAGAACACCGCAACCACCTCCTTGAGCCATGAAACATCCTCTCAATCTAAACTCCACAGTTAGGGACTCCAATGAAGACCCTAGAAAGGTAAAATCTCCTCCCTTTATCTATTTTTTTGTCTCGAATATGTTTTTTTTTTCTCGGTTTTTTTTTTGTTTTTCCCCGAATGGGTTCCTCACCCAATGCTCTCTGGTTTCTCTTTTCTTTTTTTCAAAACCCGAATGACTCCCCCTTCCTCTGATATCTTTGCTTGATTTATGGTTGATTTTTTCTTCGTTTGGTGAGATGATGATGTCTAGAATAGCCCATGGCTTTTTCTGATTTTGTAAGATATAAATCCCGAATATTTAGGGATTTATTGGTATTTTAATTTGGGGTTTGGTTTTTGGTTGATTTGGTCACTGTGGGTGTCACTGTAGGTGGATGTTCGGTCACTATTCATGCAGGAGAACAGTCGGCGGCGACGGGACATCTCGGCTTGGTGGCTCGGCGATTGGCTCACGGCTGGGAAGCTGAGGAGTTGAAGTCGGCGGCTGCCATTAGGGGATTAGGGTTAAAACCCTAATTTGTTTTAGGGTTTGAAACCCTAATCTGATGGGTTGGTTCAGTCTGGGTCAACAGTTGGATCTGAATTTGGGCTAGCTTGTACTGGGCCTGTGGATTGGTTGGCCTCCTGGTAGGCTTGAGTTGTATTGGGCTTTGGCCTGTAAAACAAAATGTATTAATAAGATAATAATAATAATACTAATTATAATAATAATAATAATTACAATTAGATAGAAAAGACCCGGACAAAAACGGGTGTCTATACCAGTGATCTGGGTTGACAATACAGGGACTGTAGCGATGAGTGCGAATCCCATTTACCACTCTCAATCCAAGCACATTGATATGGATGTGCATTTTGTTCGGGAAAAAGTTGCAGCTGGACAGTTGTTAGTAAACTACATACCAGCTGGGCACCAGATTGTAGATGGCTTCACCAAGGCCTTGTCAAAAACTGTCTTTAAAGAATTTTGAAGAAATGTGTGTGTGGTGCCTACTGTCTAAGTAAAATAGATCAAGATAGGAAAAGTAGAGGGAATGTTAGGTTGTTGTCAAGAGGAGAAAAGGAAGAGTAGAGGGAATGTTAGACTGCTATCAAGAAATAATACACGTGCATGAGGAGGCAGTTATTCTGTTAGTTTGGTTAGCTAGGACTGTTAGTTGTTAGACGGTTAATGGGAGCTGATGAGAGCCTAACCTTTTCTTATAAATGTAATGTACTTGCTGAGATGAATAATAAGACATTCTTTCCTGTGTGTACTTGCATTTGTAGTCACTTCCTAATAGGGCCGTTTTCATTCTTTTCTTTAACTTTGTTCCAGTGAGTAGGAAAACTAGTCGGGGAGGGAAGGCTACTTTTCCCTGCAATGAGATCTCCATTCAATATTTTGGCTCCAGGGTTGAAACTTGAACCCCATGTGTCACCTTTCATGGTTTCACCCAGTTGTGAACATGGGCCAGCATTGGTCTACCCAAGTCTAATCCTTGATTCAGTCTCATGGCATATCTTCTACTTTCCAAGATGGGTTTTGGAATTGCTGAGCCCAAATCAAATCAACCTTCTTGATTTTGCATGCTAAGTAATTTTGCATGCTAAGTATGGCAAGGTAAAAGGTTGATTAGAAGTAAAAAGAATCAAGTGTAGTTAGCTCTGAGTGGGGCATTGCCCCAAATGACATACGTAAGGGAAAGCTGTCTCTTGATAATGGCACAAAAAGTGACCCTTTACGCACATAGATTGTTGTTAAAAGAATCAAGATGCCATATATTCAGAGATATACGGAAATTGGAGCATTAACTCAAAAGCTATTCAAGACCAGAAAAGGTTAGACAGTTCACATGGTGAAGTTGGGGGGTTCTTTGTTTCGTATCTGTTAAATCTCATCGACATTCCTCGATACAAGTAGTCATATAAGACCCTTCGTGGTGTCACCTCATCTAAGGCCCCTCCCATGAGACCTCTCGCTTTGCACCGTCTCCTGTAACCAATAAACTGACATGAGGACTTCATTTATCAACTGTCACATCTTATTTTCACTATCGTTTTTAATTCCACATGACACATCCTATTATCAATCTGTCTAAACTTATGAGATAAAATCACTTAATATCGATTAATCAACCACAAAACACGTGACACCTTGAGAGTAAAATACATACACATGTATGCTGAAATTAAAGCCTCCAACTTGATGTTTAGCAATTCGCTTATAGACATAAGTCTAAAGCAAGCTAATTAATAGTGAAAGAAGACATTGCTTAAATGATTTTCTAGGATACACAAGGCTTCATTAATTGACTTAGATGTAGTAGTTTAAATCATATATATCATGATTATGCTTTACACATTTCAATGAATGGTAGTATCGGATTATAGGTAAGCTACCGAACGATAATACGGTTAGGTGTCTAATACATGTATACATGCAATACAAAACCAAGCAGTTAATTTGTTTAAAAAAAAACTTCAGAAGGAAGTGGGGGTTTAAGAAAGAGGACTTTATTGGACGGGAGGGAGTGGGTGACAGTGGGTCATATGATACATATATAGATATATACAGAAGTATGTATAGTTTTGGTGCAATCAAAGAATCCAAGAAAGGGCAGAACAGTAAGAGTACAAAAAAGTATAAAAAAGAAAGGGTTAAAATACTACACTGCATTGACCATTATCAGCACCAAAAAGTACAAAAATCATTACAATCTCATCTCTCTTCATTGCAAAGAACACGATTCCAAAGCCAGCTACAGTTGCTGCAATTCGACTAGTCATCACTAGCAACTTAATATGATACTTAGAGCCCTCTTTATGTAGAACTTTTCTGTAATTGAGGAGATGGTGGAAGTGGTACTATTACCAAATTTATCAATTGAAATTGTGTTGTTCGAGCCATGGCCAAAACCCGGTTTGATCCTCTATGTTACCGAACATGCTGCCGATGAACCATCTGATCCATCTTTTGGCACTGGAGGTGATTATCGACCCTCGATGATGCGGTTTGGCACAGCTGTGCAACCGCAAGGCCTCCGCCTGTTGGCCTAATGGATGTCGTAGGGAAAAGGGTTATGCTTGTTGGATGACTGTCGATTGATGGCGTCCTTGAGATAACCAGATTCACATCCGAGCTGTTTTCACTTCTGTTATTGCATGAACCTTCGGTGTCTTTATTGAAGTTGATGGATTCTGTCGGCTCCCTGCCTTTCAGTGTCAATATCTGCACCCACAAATTAACTTATCCGATCAAAGATGAAGAATGTTGCTACACAAATAACCCGCTATTCATAATTTTATGCTAAACCAATGAGATCAGTGTTGTAAACTGTAAGAAACATCTCTCATTCATTGCATGCCATCAGTCATATGACTCATGGTTACTCTAATTAAGCTTCAAACAATGATTGATCATCAAGTTTTATTTATGATTTTATCCACTCTACTATATTAATATTTGCAATTAATCCATCTACTTTAATTTAGCATAATTTGGTCCTTGTTTTAACATCATTACTCAATAGTGTGTCACATGGAAAAAAGAACTCACAGCATCACTTGAATGGCAGCAACTGAAGGTGTTATTAATCTAGACCTACTAATAACATTATAAAATTATAGCTAAATTAGAGTAGAGAGATTAAATCTCAGCATAGTAGAGGGACTAAAACCATAATGAAACCATCAATCAACCAATAAGGAAAGTAAAATTATTCTATGAAAACAATGATTCCACAAAAAGTCAATAAAGCTTTTGGTTAAGATTATAATCTTTAAAAAAGCTCAATTATATAATCAAAACATGTATATATGATTACCTGTGCATGAAGTTTTTGGTTGTGAGCTTGGAGAGCATCATTAACTGCTTTGATTGCCTCATACTGTCTTTTAAACAGATCATAGTCTTTCTCTAGTTGCTTAGTTTTCCACCTGGCTCTTCTGTTCTGAAACCAAATAGCAATCTGTCTCGGTTGCAATCTAAGAGCTCTAGCCAGCTGCATTTTTCTCTCGGGTTCAAGTTTGTTTCCCAACTCAAAATTCTTCTCAAGAGTCTTCACTTGTTCCACGTTAAGGCTCCTCTTCTTTTCTCCTGCCTGTGAACCATCATCTGATAAATCATACTCCCCGTTTGCTTCTTCGCATGCATAAATACCAGAAAACGATATTGATCTCTTCCCCAGAAATGATGCAACGCCTATATATACAAAAAGCAAACAAAAATCAGTTCCAATATAGACTTAGATACTGATGAACCCTAAAGATTCAGATGATTTGTATATACCATGAAAGTCTTGGTGTGTGCATGATGGAAGCATTTGACTGGTGGAACTTTGGGGTTGATGATGATCTTCATGAGGAATTGGAGCATGAAATTTGCTGGGGAAAAAGCTATCCGATTGCTAGACATGACCCAACAGGCAACAGAGTTTAGCACTAATCTTAGTTCCAATTAGTTTCGTACTTGACCACCATGATGTTCTTCTAGGGAAAGAAGAATTATGCAGCAGATACTGGGACTGGTGACACAGTTCAATGAAAGCAAAGCAAAAGATAGATTTGATATATCAGTCTAAAAGGAAAAAAGATTAGAATTCCTGAAATGGAAAGAGAAACAGAGATACGCATGTATGATGACTCTATATACTTTCACTTCTCTTTATTTCCTTTAGAAAAAAGGTTTTCTTTAATATATAAAATTCAAAATTGATATCAATTAAAAAATTTATCTCTTTTGGCGGACTATGTTATTGGATGGTTTAACTTGAAGTACTTTAAATAAAATTTAGAGTTTGAATCATGATATTATGAATAAAATAAATTATATTATGAGAATCATCTTCTTAATAAATTATGATTGAAATAATATTTTTTTATATATGCGTGCGTGCATGTTCATGGAAAAAAAGAAGGGAAAGACAGCTATAAAATTTAGTGAAAAGGTTACTAAATAAACTTGGCCATATATGGTAAATGTGAAAGCATTTAAAGTAGTGATTCCAAATATAAGTCCAATAATTTGAGGTCATTTTCACTGTATTACACTCCTTTTTTCCCACACTTGGGAGACAGACGGTGGTTTTCTCTCAATAAAGACAGCTGCCTTAGGATATACATTAAAAATTTCAAACAAGCTTGAAACCATAGCTACAAGGATATATAGACAATGGTGAATGTTGATGGCTCTGCAATATCTTAAAATCTTTGAATATATCCATATTAAAGTTTCAGGTGACCAAAGTCATGGTAAATGGGCAATCTTGGGTTATGATGTAGGGCCATATTGATATAGGTATTACATTTTGTGAGGGGCTATAGTTACGTGAGGACAAAGAAAGGTTGCTTGGAAGGAAGAGAAATATGAGTGTAGGGTAGGTGAGAGGATGGGACCAAGGGCAGGGGTTGCTACCTAACCCACCAACACCCATCGTGGTTTGGGGCCAACCCTTCTTTCCCATCCGTTATCCTCTCTGCAAATGCCTCTGGATCACAACAAAAGCGAAAAGGAGGGCTTTGAAATAACCCCAGCAAAGCTCCTGTTGTTTCCAACCCCACAAGAGCTGGTCTTTTTTGTCTCTCCTGCCACCCCAAAGCTCTTGCATTCGCTCATTTCACGTCACGTCTTCAATCTTCTCTCTCTTGCTGTATCCCTATAGGACTCGAGTTTGGAAAGTTGCGCAAGATGTATACATTATCAATAAAATAAAAAATAATAAATATATATTATCTTATAATTATTTTGTACTATTCAAAAAAAACTTTATTGTATCCTCTCTCTCTTCTTCTTCAGAAAGCAAACTTTTCAAAAGATTAGAAGGAGAAAATAAAGCTAATTTAAATATTTCCCATAAATCAAGATTCTGATGCAATGATAAGTACCAAATCTGAACTTCCTATCTTAAACAGAAGTATATATATGCAGGTTTCATGATTAGACATAGATGCTTCCATCATCTTTTTCTTTTCTTTTCTTTTCCTTTTTCCACACAGTGAGGGTAGGATTTCGATCGATATTTGAATATGTATTGATGTGGTAACTAACTATTTATTTACCAAAAGTTTGTCAAATACGATGAAAGGTTAAAAATATTGAATGAAAAGTCAAAAAATAGTATACCCTAACAGTGAATTTCTACTTCGACCACAGTATCACTAAATGATGGGTTATGAACAGAAAGTCGGTAAATATACTGACAGTGAATTTTCTTTTTTTTTCCTTTTTCCTTGCACATAACAGAGAATCTATCAGTTCTACGACTACAAGAGTAATGCTACAATGATTGGTCTTTACGTTGTAATTTTCTGACCCGGTAAATTACATGAAGGCGGTAAAGATGTGAAGTTAACCTGTAGAAGGAACAGTACAAAATTTTTAACTCCTGCATGCAGAATTTACCGGCCGAATGCTTTGTTTTTCTTTACCTTTGACTGTTGTCACAGAAAAGAAAGAGAAATGGACCCATGAAAGGAATGAAGTATCCAACATATGGTCCCTAAAGAGGTAAGATTAGCCACAAATGTACAGCTGACACTAAATTCGTAGATGACGAAACGGGCTGTCAAATTTCCGTTTAGTCTATCAAGTGGTTGGAGGTTTAGAATTGAGGGTTCGATCCTGACGTTTTGAAAAGGATAAACACACTGAATTTTACTGCCTTTTCTGTTATAAATGTCGATTTCGTTGATGGGATATATATTATGTTGTTTCTCGTCTTTTGGTAATATCACATGTATTTGATTTATCAGTGAATCAAATTTGTTATGTAGTTTTTGATATTCAGATTTAAAATTTTATAAGATATAATTATCTTTTTAACTATTAAAATAATTTTATTCGCCTAAAATATATATACTATAGTTGGGATTTAGGACCCCATTGCCTGGTGGTGGGCTCCTAGTCCTAAGTAAATACTAGTGTTGAAGATAATTATAAAAATACGGGGCAAAGACAAAAGCTACTCTCACACTCGCATGACTTTATTATTTGGAAGCTGGACCCTACCCCTATTTCAATGCGTCGGGTGGACTCCATCCTTCATTTAATTTATTTCTCAAAATTTCGACATGTAACATTTTCAAAAAATTTAAAAATGGGTTACTTTTTTATCACAAGTTTAATCTATAATATGTTAAGAAAATAATGGATTTAACAACACGAAAATCAAAATTAATAATTTAAATATTGATATAAGACGTTTTAAAATTTAAAAATCAATTTGAAATAGAAATCATAATTTGAAGATTGATATATAATATTCTAAAATTTATAAAAATCGACTTAGAATGAGGATCGGGATATCTTGGATAATTGACTTTTTTTAAAATGATATTATGGTAATGTTGCATAGAGTTACAAAGGGTAATGCATCATAAAAGTTTGAGGAACCGAATATTGGGAATCCAGAAGGGGTTAAGCTTTGAGCATGCAGTCCCATGTGCTAATCTCTGCTTCACCTCTCTGCCTCTCCTATTCCCATTCAACTTTATTATTCACGCTGTGGCCGCCCCATTACTATCACAATCCTCCATTGGAACTGTATTACTTTGCGGATTCGCCACAATATTCATCTGATCGGAATCAGATGAACTTTCTGTTTTTTATTTGGAAATACATCCAATAATACGAAAAGGATATGTATATATATGCACTAACACGAGAAGAGCCAACTCACCCTTTTTTTCAGTCAAGCGACTCTTCCATTAACATGAATCAAGGCTGCTGTTTCTGTCGGGTAGCCATTTCAGGTCTGCACAACATCACATGCGATGGCAGCCCCTAAATAGCTGACCAACTTTGCCAAAAGAAGAGCTGCATACTACAAAATGACGGCATGAGATGACTGCACAGAGATGCCATCAAGATCCAAAGGCACATAACCAAATAAGCTATCTGTATACGCTGCTAAATCATCCACATCCATATCATAAGCGGCATGATAATGGGGGACTCTTAGATATTTTATCAGGCTACAATTCTAGCAAAATGGAAATGACCGTGACAATGAGATCAACAAAGGAAACGATCTTTATAATGTGACAACAGATAGTATAGCTTCCTTTAGTAAGACACTGCCAACTCTCTGCATGTGTATTCTTTTCGAGTTGATATCTGGCAATTTACACTCTGCATAAAGTACATGCACCCACGATGAATCGATCTGGATATGTGATATGAATAGGTTTTAATATGGAAATTATCGACGGATCACCCTTCTTGACAGATGAGGCAGCCTAAGAGTCTTAGGCCGTTTCAGTCATTTGATACATACAGCTAGAGGAAAGCCAAGAAGGGTGAATGCAACTGAACCAAGGCAGCAATCCTGATTGCTGCACTCACTGCAATTACATGTTCGATTGCATCAGCAGTCCAGTGATAGATGCAACTAATGGTACGCAACATACAAAGAAAATGGAATTCCAGATCACAGTAAATGACATTCTCATTTTAAAAAATTCCGAACACATTCAACCAGTAGTTTTTAAGACTAGATAATAACTGAGAAACTAATGGCAAGTAAGTAAGTGAGCTCAAACACTATTATTTGAATTTAACTGCTTTTTTGTCTTTTACTTCTGCAAAATTCATCAGCTTGTAACGATGTTCATACCTGAAAGCTAGAAACCTGATTCTTGGCAATACGCTAAATGGGACAGCAGAATCCAAATCAGTCAATGAAGTGAAAAAGTAATGTTTGGTTTCCCAGAAACAGCACATGTAATGCTCTTCACTCATCAACTGAATGCCTCAAAATACCAAATATATATACATATGATGATGATCATCTTGAGATTTGTGGTGCTGATAGAAATGTGGGAAAAGTACAACTCAGTTTGGTTTGCCAATAAAACACAATTCAGCTAGGGTTATTTTCTTATGCTATGTAGCAATGAGTGTTTGGTCCCTACACGGTTTTGCACAAGATTAGGTTGAACTTGACGATTCATACCTTCTATCTCATATTATAATTGTTATATATATATATATATATTAGAATGATCCATCTCTTTTCGGGGCGCAATATGTTTATCCTGATAAAATCCAGCGAAGGTCCAACAGAAGGAGTCGATATACGAGGCTCAGTTTGGTCATTATTAATTCATTGTGCCTCACTCTAACCCAAGATGACTCTCTCTCTTTTACATAAACGTATCTAATGAGCCGGGCTCAGTTTGGTTATTATATTTTTACAGTTACTCTTTCAATATATATGTTGTCAGTTTTTCGTACAAGGGGTTATGAGGTTTTAAAAAGAAACTTGAAATATTTCAAGACTCAGTCAAAGATAATCATGATATTTTCCGTTTAATTACGATCTTGTTATTAATCTTAACATCAACTAAATCTATTATTTGACAACAGTCGTATCCTACTGCATATTGCCATCAATCTTAAGACTATATACTGTTAGGGCCATCTACTCTAAGATTAATATCATCAGTTATATTGTCTGGTGTCAGGGACACATATACATGCACAAGCAAGGTTAAAGGAAAATTTCTTCAACTCCTTACAGATTTTACATCGTTTTCTCCAATCTTTTCATCTCATTTTTTTAGATCGATTGTGATTTTTCGTTCAATCTAAAAAAGAGGAATCGTTTAATATCATTATCTTCT